GCAATTTCGCAAGGCCGAAATATTTTCCAATTTTTTGCTTCTTCTTTCCGCTTTTTTTCGCGTTCTTCGCCGGTGACGACCTCGTATCCTTAACGGCTGAATTAGTATACGTGTTCGCTTCGTCGGGTCTGCCTTCATGTCGGATCAGTCGCCTGCTTCGAAACGACTCCGGCTTGGCTCGCTGGCGGACGGCTTCCGTGGAAGAATACGTCCGTTCGCTGATTTGAGTACGGGCCGTGCACCTGAGCAGCAGCAGCATGCCGCAGCACAGCAGACAGCCATGCGAATAAATTCAGCGGGGCCTGCAGAGGCTGCTGCTGCAGATACGCAGCTGGAGGGGCAGCACCAGGATGCTGATCCTTCTGCTGCAGAAGTACGGGAGAGATGGCGGCGGCAGAAAGCTGCGCAGCGTGCGGCAGCCCTTCCTGAGCTACGGTTGTTGCAGCGGCAGCAGGATGCTGCACGGCACGCAGCTGCACGTGCTGATCCAGAGGTGAGGGTGCAGCAGCAGCTGCGTGATGCTGCACAGCATGCAGCTTCACGTGCTGACCCGGAGGTAAGGGCCCTCCAGCAGCAGCGGAACACAGCACAGCATGCGGCTGCACGTGCTGACCCGGAGGTAAGGGCGCTCCAGCAGCAGCGGAACACAGCACAGCATGCGGCTGCACGTGCTGACCCGGAGGTAAGGGCGCTCCAGCAGCAGCGGAACACAGCACAGCATGCGGCTGCACATGGATATGCCACATGCGATGTGCAATCATATGTGATCTGCAAGCATATGCGATCTGCAATCATATGCGATCTGCAAGCATATGCGATCTGCAAGCATATGCCAGATGCGATCTGCAAGCATATGCCACATTCGATGTGCAAGCATATGCGATCTGCAAGCATATGCGATATGCAAGCATATGCGATCATAGCTATGCTATGCTACGCTATGCTATGCTACGCTATGCGATATGCTACGCTATGCGATATGCTATGCTACGCTATGCGATATGCAAGCATATGCGATCATAGCTATGCTATGCTACGCTATGCTACGCTATGCTATGCTACGCTATGCTACGCTATGCTATGCTACGCTATGCTACGCTATGCTACGCTATGCTATGCTACGCTATGCTACGCTATGTGCTACGCTATGTGCTACGCTATGCTACACTATGCTACACTATGCTACGAAGCTACGGCCAACTCGCGCGAACAGCGCGCTCTAGTAGGAAAGCGGAGGCCTTAGGCCGATTCGCCGTCCCTCCGTCCGTCCGTCTCTCTGTCCACCACGTCGCGGGTTCGATCCCCCTCGCGTGCGCGTCTTTTTTTTTGCCTGCTTTTTTTTCTTTTTTTTTCTTCGTATGCTTCATATGCTTCATATGCTTCATATGCACATATGCACATATGCTTCATATGCACATATGCACATGTGTTTCGATATGCACGCATGCTTCATATGCAAGCATATGCCGCATGCGATGTGCAATCATATGTGATCTGCAAGCATATACGATCTGCAAGCATATACGATCTGCAAGCAGCGCTGCCTTCCTGCTAGTCGCTTTTTCTAGCTTCGTCTTCTACGTGCCCTTCATGTCTTCTTATCCGCGACACATATCTGCGTCTGCATCTGCGCGTTTCCAGATGTTGTGAAACAAGGCGCGGAAAGGCTGCATCTGCGACACAATGCGACAAGCTTTTCTGTACAGTTCAGCTATGGACGTTGCGCGCAATTCAGCTGCTTGACCGAATCACGCAATTGCGCACGTGTGCCGAAGCGCGCGATTCGCACACCTCTAAATGCGCGATTGAACGTGCAATTCAGCATGCAATTCGCCGCGGGATTCAGCGCGCGCTTTGGCGCACAATTCGATGCGCGCTTCAGCGCGTGCTTCGATTCTGCGTCGGAATTATTGTCGTACGCGCTTCATACAGCGCCTTTCTTCGGTTGTAAGCTTTCACGGTTCTCGCAATTTCGCAAGGCCGAAATATTTTCCAATTTTTTGCTTCTTCTTTCCGCTTTTTTTCGCGTTCTTCGCCGTTGACGACCTCGTATCCTTAACGGCTGAATTAGTATACGTGTTCGCTTCGTCGGGTCTGCCTTCATGTCGGATCAGTCGCCTGCTTCGAAACGACTCCGGCTTGGCTCGCTGGCGGACGGCTTCCGTGGAAGAATACGTCCGTTCGCTGATTTGAGTACGGGCCGTGCACCTGAGCAGCAGCAGCATGCCGCAGCACAGCAGACAGCCGTGCGAATAAATTCAGCGGGGCCTGCAGAGGCTGCTGCTGCAGATACGCAGCTGGAGGGGCAGCACCAGGATGCTGATCCTTCTGCTGCAGAAGTACGGGAGAGATGGCGGCGGCAGAAAGCTGCGCAGCGTGCGGCAGCCCTTCCTGAGCTACGGTTGTTGCAGCGGCAGCAGGATGCTGCACGGCACGCAGCTGCACGTGCTGATCCAGAGGTGAGGGTGCAGCAGCAGCTGCGTGATGCTGCACAGCATGCAGCTTCACGTGCTGACCCGGAGGTAAGGGCCCTCCAGCAGCAGCGGAACACAGCACAGCATGCGGCTGCACGTGCTGACCCGGAAGTAAGGGCGCTCCAGCAGCAGCGGAACACAGCACAGCATGCGGCTGCACGTGCTGACCCGGAGGTAAGGGCGCTCCAGCAGCAGCGGAACACAGCACAGCATGCGGCTGCACATGGATATGCCACATGCGATGTGCAATCATATGTGATCTGCAAGCATATGCGATCTGCAATCATATGCGATCTGCAAGCATATGCGATCTGCAAGCATATGCCAGATGCGATCTGCAAGCATATGCCACATTCGATGTGCAAGCATATGCGATCTGCAAGCATATGCGATATGCAAGCATATGCGATCATAGCTATGCTATGCTACGCTATGCTATGCTACGCTATGCGATATGCTACGCTATGCGATATGCTATGCTACGCTATGCGATATGCAAGCATATGCGATCATAGCTATGCTATGCTACGCTATGCTACGCTATGCTATGCTACGCTATGCTATGCTACGCTATGCTACGCTATGCTACGCTATGCTACGCTATGCTACGCTATGCTACACTATGCTACACTATGCTACGGAGCTACGGCCCACTCGCGCGAACAGCGCGCTCTAGTATATGTAATATGTATAGGATATGTATGTATGTATAAGGGATTTAATGTATGTCCTAATAAGGGAGCGAAATGTCCAAAGCGCAGCTATGATGAGATGAGCCTTAGCAGCTCATTTCTTGTGGTACGGTGGCCGAGTGGTCTAAGGCGTAGGATTAAGGCTCCTATCCGCAAGGGCGCAGGTTCAAATCCTGCCCGTATCAGACGACGACACGTCATGCGATGCATGCGCATGTCGTGCACGTGCATGGTATGTCGTACGTATGCAGGTATGTTGATTGCAACATCAATACCATATCACCTGCGA